AGCTTGCTCGATCGGTATTTATGTAGCCGTGTGAGTGTTATCATAATCATGACATCAACACGAAGCGAAGCACTTCAAGGTCCCTGGTTCTGTTAGCGCTCGGTCCGGACGGACAAAACGACCTACAGACAAACCGATACACCAAAGTTCTGGGTATATAATGAAGTGATACATATCACGAAGTCTGATTAGGCGTGTCACCGGAAATGACGTGGTCACCGCCGCACTTGATAGAGGTTGCGTGAAAAAGCTGCTTCTGCCCGCCTTGCTGATCCCAGCCAAGTATGTTGGAAGCGGCTCATCCTTGCGACTTCTAGTACGGCGTTTTCTACGTCGAGTCCGTAGAATCGCATCACGCGACGCGATAGCGCGTCAAAAATTTTCACATGGCCTGCAGAAAGCACGCGAAGCGCGACGCTGTTAAGTGAGATATACACTGCTGGAAAGATTTGGTTTGATTTACCACACGAGCCAGCTCGTGTGAAAACAAACAACAAAAACATTTGAAGAAGTTTTAACAAAAACCTTTGAAGAAAAAGAAAAGCTTCTACCCACAAATTCCCAAAATATTGCATCTGAAGACGTTTTCGAAAAAGGCTCCAAAGTGGGAATGTGATGCACGCAGATCAATTTTGAATACCAACACAAAGTTTCGGTTTGTAACGCAACCCTTCTTATTTTCATTTTTTGAAGACTCTTTCTGCCTATTCCGCAAACTTACTTCCACCACATGTTTCTCAGTTTCATTTCATTTTTACCGAACGAAATTTGGCAGTTAATATCACTTTCAGTTCGTTAGTTGATAGCAAAAGGCAAAATCGCTGTCAGACTCCATAATAGGAAAGCTCTAGCAAAAGAGACGCAGGAGTTGTCGAAGTGTCAGCTCACGCTAGAATTTGGTAAGGGTCATACGAACAAGTTTCTCAAGGATGCTACAGGATATGATTCTGGGAAGGAACCCTGATTCACTATCCGACCGGATAAGCGCCCTATCGTGTGAAAATAATACGACCGGGTACGCAAAACTTCATAAAAGTATGTGTCTCAATGAGAGCAGTAGAAAGTGTTTTTCATAAAATTTTTCATAAACGTCATGACGATTCGTGTCTGGGAAATGAGTGAGACGTTTTATGAAAAGAGATTACATAGACAAGAAAATTTTTCAGAACGAGTCGACAAGTCAAGAGATGTGAGGATACTTTTTATCTGTGATATTTTAAACCTGATCTTTTTCTTCCCCGTATTTGTTCGAAATTGAGGAATCAGCTGCTCTGAGAAGGAAAAACGTTGCGAGAAAGAGACACTAATCAAAAATCACAAACGAAAGTGCCATCTTTTCGTTCGATGTGCCGACCCATTCTGGGGAAAATTTTCTCGTTTTTCTCTATAATCTCTTTTTACAAAAGGCGTCCCACTCACTTTCCAGACATGGTTTATTATAAACGTTCTTGTAAACACGTGAAGCCGTGTCCAGACATGAACTTCTGAACGAATTCTGACTCCTGTACCTGACCTAATAAAATTGTATTAATCCTTTATGTTATGGCGCTTATCTCGGTCGGATGATCTCTTGCTGTAGTTTTCACTTTTCAGAAGCTTCATAGCAGTTTCGCTTTTGCCATCACCCAAGAAATTGAGAGGGATAATTACTGCGAGGTTTTATTCTTTATTTTCACTTTTTGAATTTCATTTTCGCCTAACTCTCGTTGGGCAAAAATAAAATGCAGCGGAAAAACACGTGGTTGTGAATGCAATTTTGTGAGACAGGCATAAATTTCCAAAAAAAAATGAAGATAAACATGCTTTTCAAACTGATCTTCGTGTTAGTACTCGGACTCGCGCCTACATGCATTACACTTATACTATAGACTTTTCTGAAAACGTCTTTAGATGCAAGTTTTTGAGAAATTTGTAGGTGGAAGTGTCGTGCCGGGCAGTATAGAGTCTGGGTATGTTTCTTTCCTTTGCAGTGATTTTGCCCTCGGAAGAAGATAATAGTTGTTGAAACTGTCACAATGTGCAAAGAGGTTCTCGTGTTTTCGGTAGTGTTCTGCGACGGATTTATTCCATCAATGACTACTTAATCAGTCGAGTTTGAAAAGTTCCATAGGCGGTAAATATCAAACTTTCATGACCAATCCCGTTTTTGAGAAACTGTTGACAACAACCCTTGCATGATTTCTAACACAGATAGGTTCAGTGGAAAGAGTGATGTCACACAGATGTTGAGTGATGTTCCTATCCTATCACTTTCTGTCCCATTTCTTTTTTCATCACCAGTGTTCTTTCTTTTCAGCGTAAACTATCATAAGTAATGGCGAAGGTGGAAGAGAGAAAAAAACACAGATAACTTTCTGACCTCTGATCTTTATCAAGTTGGTCTCCGAACCCAGCTGTCTCAACCAATCTGAGCTTTACACGAATACCTCCTTCAGCGACTTCTGCAAACAATCACTATATAATACTTAAAGCAACAGTCCCAGCAGGGTTTTTACCTTCGACACTAATGGTGTGGAACGATGCGCTAGCCCTAGTCAAGAACATAAGAAGTGTGACTGAACAAAAAACTCACCTTGGAAAGCCGCTAGAAAGGGAGCTGAACAGCTTCGAAGTGGGCGTGGTTATCGGCTGCAATCCCCTCGGCCGATTCCAACCACGCCCACTTCGAAGCCGTTCAGCTCCCTTTCTAGCGGCTTTCCAAGGTGAGTTTTTGTTCAGTCACACTTCTTATGTTCTTGACTAGGGCTAGCGCATCGTTCCACACCATTAGTGTCGAAGGTAAAAACCCTGCTGGGACTGTTGCTTTAAAGAAGCGTTACGAAACAGCCCCGGTAGGTCACCCCATCATACATGCCATCCTACCGGAATCCGGTAAACGGTTGGTAAACGGTTGCGGGTATGTTTGTCTGCCTGACAGAAAAAATTCATAACTTCGTTCCCAGTGGTCTAGCCGACGAGTCGTCAAACTTGGAGAGAGTAAAAGGAACGAAATAGGGATACCGAAGGTAGGTACCGAGAAATGATAAGTACTGATGAGTTGATAACGGGCGTCAAAAGCCACAACTTTTGCACCCTTCTCGTGCACAGTACATAAAATGTTTCTTCACAACATATAACGCATTAGGTTGGAGGTCGAAAAAATAACTTGGTAGGTTTTTGGAAGTAGAAATCTCTGTGATTACTATCATACCTAGGTTCACGCAAAAATTGTAAGATTACTTCTATTTAATGAATAAAACTTCATGTTGCCTCGATTTCCTCCTCTGAGCGAGAAATAGCGCGCGGATTAACCACTGCCCACCACCTTTCCATGTCGTGTCGGCCCATACATAGATGATAGGCATAAAGTAAGAACAAGGTTAAAAAAACAGTCTTGGTTTTTAAGAAATTTTGTTGTCATGAACAATGTCTTTTACATTTCGCACTCGTGGATTAACTTGCAGTTCTGTCACACACCCAAACAGATGAAACAGAGTTTCGAATGAGATTTGAATTCTAAGCACAACTTGCAGGAATTGCTGATCTCCTTACTTATTCCATTCTCGGTGTTTACTTTGACCCAGAAGCACAAAAGGATGCTCAGAGCTAAAAGCAGTTCCACATCCTGCAGGGTACTCAAAGAAATTGCTGACTGCAGCGAAACTTCGGCTCACATTTCGCGCAGTTTAAGTACTTCACAATTCTCCCACGACTTTCATTACGAACTGTCCTTCTTGGAACTCCTGTTGATGATAGTGAGGAAGTTTAATCGATTAAAAAAGAAAGCAATCAGAAAATTTTGGGTGGATGCATAATTTTGCGGAATACGCCGAAGAGTTCATTTTCTGGGATTGCAGAGAAAATTTCTTTTTATACTTCAAATTTGAATTTCGTGTAGTGCGAAATTGCATTCGTACTTACTACACTTTCCATTTGGAGATTTTCTTTCAAATAAACCTTGAAATGAGACTTGGGAAAGCTCATAAGTGTAGGTGTAATTATGCGGGTCAGTGTATAATATAGTACTAGGTGCTATCTTAGTTGGGGGGAGCCACGCGGCGGCGCGGCGCTCTGTTCGTCTCCTCCTGCAAGGCTTAGTCCTCGATGGCGCGTATTTCGAAACTGCCACGTGATGGCGAAATAGTAACTGCCCCTGGGACTAAGCCTTGGAGGAGCAGACGAACAGAGCGCCGCGCCGCCGCGTGGTCTCCCCCAACTAAGATAGCACCTGATACTAATATAAAGAAGCCAGAATAGCTTCAAAAATAGCAGGTGAACTTTGCCTTTAATTATTGTGTGCCACACACGGAAGGTGGGAATTTGGATCCTGTAGTGATTTTTATACTGCAGAGGAACGCTCACATAAAAAAAATATTTGCACCTACCATACGACCTTGTGCGCAGTTCAACAGTTTTCAGTTCATGGCTGCATGGCTCCAAATCGAGCTTCATGTTGAAAAGCGATTCAATCAAGGTCGTTTTTCCCATTCCAGTTTCACCCACACACATCAAATTGAACTGGAATCTAAAATATCAATGTCATCATACACAACAAAAGTCGTGCCACTTGACACTTTGGCACAAGTCAGGATTGAATTGATGCGTTATTTTGTTCAAAAATTAGGCAAGGGGTGCAATGAGGAACATTAGTGAGGAGAAAAAGCAAAAAGCACCATAGAAAACACTAAATTTCCCTTAGGAGGCCGGCCGTGGTATGACGGAGAGACACAGCGCTGCGAGGAGAGGGAGAACGCGAGATAGTACGTCGTACGCGAGAGGACGCAGAGACCACGTATGCCGTGGTTGATAACGCTGGCAGCACGGCAGCACACAAGGCAAGGCCTTAGCGCCGTTGCCTCGCACTTTTGAGTCGCGACAGTGTCCTGCCTACTGCCCTTGGAGACCCCTCTTCCTCACTCTAGAAGGGACTGGCTCTTGGGACCTAATCCCGACTCGTGGCTTTAAAGGCAGCGATTACGATAAAGTGGGAGCGCATCGGGGAAGCATATGCACCACACGAATCAGTTACTTGGCTGCCAGGAAGCGAGGTGTGGCGCTTTCACGACGAAAGGTGCGCTGGTTGCTGAGCAGGACTTCGAAAGCACTCCGCCCCCAAAAGCGATCCGCCCACTAGTTTAGTTGTGATTTGGACGAGCTGCGTTGCCAGCAGCGGCACAACTCTCGACTGAGCGTGGGCATTGGCATGCTGTCACCAAACGCGTTGCGCTGAACTCGTTCATACGTCCGCTTTCTGAGCTGTTACCTGTTCATGAGTGAAAACTAACGGCCAAAAAAGGGGTCCCGTTTTGCGTCTTGACGGATTTCTCCGCTTTTTTCGCCACTGGCGTACCATTGAGCACCACCGGTCTCCTATAACCATTCTTGAATCTACGTAATCACCTTTAACTCAAGTGATACCGGACTGATAAGCGTTAGGCTGGTGCCAGAGTTCGCGATCCGTCGCAGGTTTCGCTGATTTGCGCGATTCACGCGATTTGCGCGATTCACGCGACGGGTCACGGAAATCACAAGTGCCCGATCAACTGTTCTCCAATCCTGCCGCCACTTCTGCTTGATAGTGATGGCTGAATGACGACTGCTCATGATTCCACTTTTCATATTCAGTGTTTCAAATGTTCAAATGGGGCACTTGCAATTTTGCGATCCGTCGCAGGTTTCGCGCAAATCGCGAAAATCAGCGAAACCTGCGACGGATCGCGGACTCTGACACCAGCCTTAGTGACCGTGAGTGACTCAAGCACTGCACATCCGGGGTTGCTCAATACTGTCCAGACCTGTACCCATTCATTTTTTGCAATTTTCGATCGCTCGCTCATCATCTGAAGATGCGAAGTTCGGTGATTAAAATGATGTCAAAGCGAGAATCTAAAAGTTTTCCGACGAGAAATCCCCTATTTGCTGCGAACGCGGCATCGGCTTGTTGCCGGAAGCTTGTTAGATTGTTGCTGACTTTGATGGTCAATATGTTAAGGTTTTAGAAAAATGAGAAATAAAGAATTAAACTGAAATTATGCAGTGGGGTGTTTCAAAACTTTCTTTCCAGAATAACATTATCGACCTATTTTATTTAATCACCGATAAAACTTGAACACATGACTTCGTCAGCAAGTGCCCGTATGAAGAGTTTGCAAGTAGTTCTTGTTAGGTTTAGGCTACCACGGATGAGTTTCTATGGCGCCCAAGCGCACTACGTATAGTGGGTTGTACTTGAAGATAGTGCCTCGGGGATCCTAGGATGTCGCAGATAGGCAAGCCTGGCACTGCTTTTGCTTTTTCTGAATTATGATTAGAGCTGAATCGATCCCAATACCTTCAGTGATGAATAAGCGACCTATCCAAATTCACGAGGATTGACCAAGGTTTCAGAAATCGCTAGAAAATTGGCTTCAGGGGTAGTTCGCCTCCCTGATTACGAATATCACACTTGTGCGAAGCAGGAATGCTTGGCACCTGCGCTAAGGCGCCATGTGAACCAGAGCAAAAATCACCTAATTTTGATGGAATTGCTCTGAGCTTTGATATTTTGCGAAGCTCGGTAACGAGCGACTCCTCAGCTATTTATTTATTTAATGATTATTTATTTATTTATTTATTTATTTATTTATTTATTTATTTATTTAAACTGCACTTTAGGTGCGCCCAAAACAATACCAGGACTCATGTTAGTCGAAACATAACGCAAAACGAAGAAATAAAAATAAACCAAGCAGTCACCAAAGACCGAGTACAAAACTGCTACAGCCAGGAGACAACATTCCCCTAACTAGATGGCATCAAGCTGGGGACCGCGAGTCGTCATTATGTAGAAGCCGGACTTTCATGCCTGTTGACAAAAATGAAAAAGACCATTCATCAAACAAACAGAAACTCAACACCATTAGTCACCCATGAATACCTGGAGAGTTGAGGAGACTGCATAAGCGCATCGGCCTCTCAACTAAACATTTTAAGTAAGTAGAACAGTAAGGTGCAAAGCCAGCCTAGGCAACGCAACCGACCGCAGTCGTTCCCGGGCGGGCCAAAGTAGGTGCCTCTTTGATCTAAATACGAACCCAGGGCGTAAGACCTAGGCCCAAGTATTCGAACCGGAATACTTGTTGACTTGCACCGACTTATGGAAGTAAAGGATAGTCAATAGCAGGTAAGCCTGGGTGACTGAATGGGGAGAGCGGAAACCAAAAAAAAACTTTTGAAAATGGCTCTCGAGCTCAGCGCGCAATAGCAATAGCCCAGATACGACTCGTAGACATGCGCCGCAGCCATGAGATAGGGGAGAAGTTATACTCCAGGCAAACAGAACAAGGAAAGAATGATATTGTTAGTATATAAGAAAACGCCCAATGAATGTGTCCAGATAGAAGAAAAGAACAAAAACGTCAGCAGCCCTCTATGGAAGGAAGGGGATTGCTGAAAAGAGCAAAAGAGCAAGCTCGCCAGGGAGTTGATTTCACGATCTCTTACCTAATGTCCAGAACAAAATGCATATACAAATATGCACCCAATTTCAATTGGTGGAATGACCTTTCCTAGTCAGAAGGGAGAGAAACCCGTGCGTGAGCTTTCCTAGTTCCAAAGTTCTTCCTCCTCCTAGGCTTAGCTTTGGAAAAGAATGCCCTATATCTTGCTAACGCCAGCAATTTATCAGCTTTTAATAGAATCAGGTTGCCAAGGCCATTCATTATAAGATGCACAACTGTATTCGTACTACAACGCCGATTAAGAATCTATTATATTTCCCGAATCTGCTAGATGATTTTTCGGAGTTTATGAAGCGGAAGAGTGCGGCGGTAGTTTTCGGACTCCCAAGCAAAAGCTCTTAGGATCAATACCTTTGACAACTTACTGATCTGCTCTTGAATTTCTGAACAGTCCTTACACTTTTTGATTCACCATTGTTTGCCTGTCAGGGGCTATGCGCTGAGAATTTGAGATTCGTAACCAAAACGTCACATTACACATGGAGGCAGTATTTTGCCAACTATCAACAGCCAACTACCCAACCAAGATCAACCGTCTGTTGGTCCAATTGCAAAACTTTGACGACCCCAGCCTCTCAGAGAAGTCTCATGGTCAGTACGACCCACCCCTCCACACATGACTATTTCTGAAGCAATAATTCAAAGACCAGCTGATGGAGCCCAACTTCGCCCAACATCCCTTCAGAAGCGCCCAAGTTTCGCCACTTGCTTTGCAGAATTGTCGCCGAATCGTTGTTAACCATCAAGCAGAAGCCCCTCTTCTGCCACCACAACTCCTCCGACCTCCACAAATGCGATCCCTTTGTCGACCTTTGGACCCTCACCAGTCCCGAATACGATCCCCCTCCCGCTTGGGACTAACAACGAAACTGGACAGTCGCCCCATTGCCACTCCTTCACCCATTTTCCTCCTTCACTTTTCATACCTTATGCAGCGGTTGTAAGAAGAATAATGAGCTTCGAATTTTCGCCAGTTAACACATAGTATGGATTGCCACTATCAGAATCGTAATAACTAGAAATACTTCTGCAAAGTGGTGACGCTACAATCCCAGTGCGCTCGAAAGTGTCTTACGTGACCTCATTTTTTCTATCACAAGACTTCACTTATTTGTTGCAACCACGCTCTTGCTATATCACACCAGATGTTACAGTTTATTGGCTACTTTACAAAGTTGTCCAGATCCTTCATTCTTGTTCTTGATTTCAGTCAAGATCACAATCGATTATCTGCTGCTACTTGTAATAATAATCCTATCGAAGCACACGGCGCGAACCGGCCAACCTCCACAGGATTGCTGGATGATATGAACCAGAACTGTATATCTAACTTACCCTGCTTCGACAGCTTTCTTGACCAGTTGATGTGGTAGGGCATCCAATCCAACATGTCCATTCAGCTCTAAAGTGCGACCAGCATGAGGATCCTTGCGATCTTTGTTTCCGTGAGTCGGAGGTTGTGGCGGAGCATGAGGTGGTGGATGGGGCGCTGTCTAAACAAATTGTAATACAGTAAATATATCCCTTTTTTAGAGACGATTTGCTTGCCTGCTGCACCGTGCCCTTGCTGAACACATGAAATGACTACATATAGACTCGTGTGTAAGTACCTCCAAGGCATTTTTCTCATACACCATAATCAATAGATGCTGTTCAGACCCGAGCAAGTAAGAATATCAGCGGAGTGAGAACAACAACTAGTGAAGGCTACAAAGCACTGTATTAGTAATTACTTCACCGCGCTAAAAAAGAAAATAAGGACCTAACAGTTCGATCGCAGTAAACGAACCTTCTCTCAACAAATAAAACATTCCTCGATTTTATAATCCGCTAACTTGGAGCATCGGTTTGTACCGTCCATATTCGAGAGTTGGGGTAGGCGTGCCACCGGCAGCAGTTGCACTTGATAGACGTCGCGCGGATAAGCTGCTCCCAAACATACATCGCTGGATATCAAAGAACATGGCTGGGCACCAGCTACATCATGGCCTCTCTATCCGATGCGGTACACACTAACAGCGATAAGTCGCGTCGTGAACACGCCTACCCCAACTCTCGGACATGTCTGTATGTATGTATGTTTATATGCCCGTCCGCAAAATAATGTGAGTGATAAGCAGCTAAGAGAATAAATTCATTTAAAAAATAAAAAAGGAGACAAGATAGCCATATAATGGGTGGTCCGCAATGTGTTAAAGTAACATTCCTAGATCAAACTGGTACGGTAAAAGCTGTCGATAATGAAATTGTAAATGCAGTCGACTGCAATAGAAAAAGAATCAAAGAAAACCGCCGATGAAGCCCTAAAGCAAGGATTTCTTCATATACACAAACGCAAGCAAAGAAATACAATATTTAAAGTATTTAAGCAAATAGAACCATCAAGGAGTAGGCAGGATTCTTCCAAGGCTGCAACAGTTTGCAAGTAATCGCGCTAGAACCACGCAGCCATCACGCAATTGCGCAAGGAGCCACTAACCAACTGAAGCGATCTTCACGCTAACCTGGTGTGAGGACCCCACTAAATGAATCACCGATACACATGTCGAATCCCCTATAGCGGCTTCGCAATGAGCTTTGAATTCTTAAGCGACACTTCATATGTTCTCTACAAGGCATGTATCATGTCATTCATTGGTAGCGAAAATATGAAAACTTCTGTGATTGTTCCTTGGGGCAAGAACCACGAAAGTTGGCTTCACTTTGCTGAAATGAAGATAATAAAATGGGAATGCAGCCGGAACTGACAGAGTCAGAAACGATTCGGCGTGACGCGCGTCAGGCCAAGATGCGCGACTGTGAAGACAGAGATTGCTAGATGGTATGTGACCCGCGGCCCGATGAGATCGCGAACCAATCGGTCAGAAAGGTAGTAATCACTGAACCTTAAAACGACTGACCACGATTAACTCAAATAAGATGTGGGAAAATGTTATCAAGGAAGCCGTGTTTAACAAACGCCCCTCTGGCAGGCCTAGGCGGAGGGAACGATTTCGCGCGACTATTCACCACGACACTCTGGGGCGAATCTTCTCCCAATCCAGTGGTCCGAATTGTCATATCGCCTCATTGGTCAGCTCGTTTCTCTAATCTCCTCCACTTTCTTCACGATTCGGGGCGCAGCCACGGCGAGCGCGGACGAGTCCACAGTGCCTGCCAGGGTGAATAACGGTCGAGGAAATCCTCGACCATAGCTCTCTACCATGCGAGAGTAGTGCCGAGAGTGAACATCCGCGCGGAGAGCACAGACGGCACGGCATGGCGAGTGTGAATGTCCGCGCGAGAGATCGTCTCTGATCGGGCAGAGAATCCTCGACGTGCCGTTGAGGAATCCTCAAGCGATATTCACCCTGGTCCTGCGACCTGCGATGGTGCAAGCGTTTCAAATGTCCTCAGAGATCCGAGCACCAGAGATTGCGGGCGCGTATCGACATCAGCAGAGCGCGCTTCGGTCGACGTACCGCGCCCCAATCGTAAGAAAATGGGGAGCGTTCTTAACGAAGGCGTTGGACCACTCGGCTTTCCTGAAGATCGTAGGCGCGTTTCTTTCAAAATTACACGCAGTATCACATAAGCAAAAAAAGAAAGTACGTCAGCCAGAGTGGAGCAAGAGGCTTCGGCTTCACTTCTATTCGTCATGGTATCTGAATCACCAACACTGAACGGCGAGAGCCTGCTGCATTAGTTGTAAAAGTCAGTCAAATAATTACCAGAACATATACGGGATCAACGACATAGAAATCGCAACGGTATTACCGTATAATGTAAACTTCTTCTACAGGAAATCGAGTTAACAATGTCTGAAACGTGAAGCACTGAAGAATAACCACAAGTTTGTACTACGTATGATGACTGGAAGCTTCAATTTCATTGCGACAGTTCTTTATTAAGCAGGTTTTCGGCGTGTCACGCCTTCGTTGAAATTTGAGCTTCCTGTCATCACAAAGTAGCAATACAGGCTTGTATAATGAAGCTCAATGACAGCACTATCATACCAAACTTTCTCAACAAAACATATGTTTTTGAACATTTACTTAGTTTAGCAGTTTGGTGCGCCCCAGCGGTTGCGCGCGGCTAATTAATCCATAAGGGGGAGGGGGGGGGGGGGCAGACGGATGGCGGCGCCAAATAGTGGTGCACGATTATTTCTTTTATAGTTGTATAGTATTTCTAATAATCTGAACATATCCGTATATAGTGTAAGCAATTAGGAATACATGTACTCCCAGGACCTGGACGACTGGATTTTTCACGAAATTACGAAAAGTTCCATTACTCTTTGTTCTTCGATTTTCGCACAAAGCTTTTTTCTCAATTTTGATGGAATGGTTCTACACATCTCCAGACCCAGCCTTGTTCCATGATATATGCTTCCCCTTGCTACAGGGTTGGTTGTTTCGCCACTGCTCGCGAGACAGCGCCAGGAAGTCATAGTGCGCACGTCGGCGGAAGACTTTTGGCTCGTCGGTTTGCTGACCGCATGAAGACGGTCTCGCGCAAATTCGCGGTGAAGCCGGACAAGGCAACCTGCATTAGGGTTCTTTAGCCAATGGAATTAAACACGTCAAATTGTGTATAAATAAAACCGCGAAGGTTCTGCGACTCGAATTACATCCCAGCACGCACGGAGATTTGAAGACAGAGTGATGGTGAGGAAACCTGGAATCATCGGGAGGAAGAGATGAGGAGAAACTAGCATTGAGCTGTTTTAGCAGTCAGGACGGTCATATCGTTAGTGGGGGAGGGGGAATTCCAGGAGGAGTGAGTAAGCCAATTATTGTGCTTGAGACTAAGCAAGGAGGGGAAGATAGAAGGGCGAAGAAAAAAGTCCCTTCTCCTTTGGTGAGGGGAGAGGATTCTGGAGAAAGATATGAGCAATCTGTGTACTTGCATCCCTGCGTTCTTCTGTTCCTGGCCTTAGTCCTCATGTAGATCGCCTCAGCCGTCGAGCTGTTTGAGAATGTTCCGGCCTCAACCGACTCATGAACGGCCTCAACGATCAGCACATAGAAGAAATTTCTTCAGCATAATTCTTTAGTGATCCTCATAGGTTATTGATGGTATCACAGTACGTGCCATTTCCTGTAAGGGTTCTGTCTCTCAGCTTTTGCGCTGTCATCTCCTCAGATCACTGGCACTTTCAATCTCAGCGCCAGCAAAGTTTTTACTGGCAGAATCGGCCGGAGTGGCTGCCAGACAACACCCTACTCCCTGATCGTGGCCAAGCCGTGGATAGCGTCCCAGAGTTCGTTACATCGGGGCGATGCTGCTTTGTTTCCGATGGGGGCGCGCGCCCTCGTATAATGAGAAGTTGAGGCGCATTGGTCTGATTCAACACAGCTGCGGGCGTCCCATCGAAACAACAGGGTACCCCCAGGAGGCCCATTCGCGCGGCAAGAAGGCAAAGTCAGTGGACGAGTCGTGCGCGTACTATAGCGATTTCGCGTCAAGTTGAATAGAGCGTCTAATTACATGTCCTACACAGGGTCAACACTAACGAGGTTACGAGTAACAACGGGGGCTCGTACTCAATTGAGCTTGGAGGAGGGGGGTCGGTCTCTCTCGGTGGCCGGCAGTTGGTAATTCTGGAGCAATAGCCAGCACGTTACGTTTTCGTAAGATGACTGATACAGCATCTATAAACCACGATTCCCTCTAAATGAGCTTTCAAATGAATCAGCGAATTAGAAGGGCGCCCGAGGCGTGGCGCGCACCAAGGCAAGGGATGTAGTGCAAGCGCATGCTCGAAGCTTTCTAGCACATCCTAAGTTAAACATGATTGGTCTTCCAAGAAGTTACGGGCAGTGAAACCTAAGAAAACCCGCGTTTTCGGGAAAATGGCTTGAAGAATACCCCTCAAAAAAAGTAACAACGGGACTAATTTTTGAACTGCTGACTTTTCAGGAACGTTTTGGTGCTCGTAAGAAAGCTTGAATCCTGTTGTATACCGTGTTCAGCTTCCCAAATAAATGAAACTGTTGAAAATCAAGTTTATGATCGAGTTTAATAGGATATAAAAGTCGCGGTTTCACAGATATAAAATATGATAACGCAGACCGCCACCATAAAAGTAAACGGAACGTAATTTTTGAACTCTGAACTTTCACCGCACGGGCGTGGCGTCTTCGTTACGAAAGTTGGATCCTGTAGGTATTATAACATGCTTTCAGAGGTCTTCCCAAATGAATGACTTTGAAAGCGAAGTATATGGACTCGTTGTAGGTCAAAATCGAGTCGCCTTTGCTATAAGGACAAAAAAACAACGTTCGACAAATATTTCCCCTCAATTGACTTAGAGAGAATAATTTGAATTTTCCCAAATCAAATCACTTCGGCGCAGAAGCTCGAATATGAAGGAAGTTATAGCCTTAGAAAGAGGGGTGTAAAAATTGTGTTGCAATTGAAGAACGTGAAGGATTTCAGTATTTCAATTGGAGCGATAATTTTTTCTGACTTCTCATAAGTTTTTATCAGGTTAATGTTGTCAATATTACGGTCACTGGTTCAGTTTATTTCATCTCCTAGTTTGGTAACCCTTTGGAGTACACGGATATCTTTGAATGCATCTCATTTTTTTTCGTGTTTGGAAGCAGCGATGAATATCTGTCGTGGATTTTGCTAAAGTTTCATCTGATCA